GGAGGAAGTGGGAGGAGAGCTGTTGCATTGTAAATTTTGGTCAATGACATGAGACAAAGTATATGTGAACTGCTGTATGAAAAGTGAATTTACTCTATAAATCTTCACCCAAATCCAAATAAAAAAAAAAGAATAATAATAAAAAGTACAAAAAAAAATAATTATAATTTTAAAACAGGCAAAAACAAACAAATTTAAAAAAAAAAAAAAAGGAAAAAAATCTGGGCAGGTCACCCAGGCTACTTCCAAGCACATAGACTGGGATGGAATTCCTGCCAGCCCAGAAGGTGGGTGGGAGTGAGGGATGGCTGCACTACCATTCACTAAGGGGGTGTGGAGTATAAGAGTAACAAGGGGAATATTGCACTTTTCCAGTTGTTCATGTCTGGAATGTTCTTGTGGTCCCTGGAATGTGGAGGCTATTGTTAGGTCCATGGAATCTGAGAGAATGCTGTCACTTTAAATATCCACAATGGTCAAATTGCTTGTAAACATTCAAAATGGCTGCGCCCTCTGGACAGCCAATAGTGTACAGCTCAGCCTGTCTCTGTCTTGGCTGCTTCCCCTTTTATTCACCAGCCACCAGTGCAGTCCTCCATGCAGACCGTTGCTAGCAGGGACGATTTTTAGGTTACTTCTCAGGTTCTAACACCACTTGGCAGTATCCAGGCTTTCTATGACATCAGGATGGCTGACAGACCGCAGCTCCGTATGTCTCCTTTTTTGGTGTTTTCATGCAGGTTCTTCTACTAGTTGGAGTTTGGTCCACTTCTGTATCCTTCCTTTCAAAGCTCAGGGCTCCAGGATTATCTTCTGTATCTGTGTTAATTGGTTTCTCTTTTCTTTGTTGAAGAGGGTCTCTGTAGTTTGCCTATTCTGCCATCTTACCAGAACTCTGACCCATGGAGCTTTGAGCTCCAGATTTGTATTCTTAATAAAACTCAGTGGTTCTAGAACATAGCTTTTTCTAACTTAAAGTCTCTGAGATTCTTGAAGAAGAGAAGAAAGATCTGTAATGTGGGTGCCAAGAGGCCTATAGCACCTTGCTTTAAGGAACTCACAAATTAGTAGAGAAGTCAGATGGGAATACAAGTAATTAAATTGTGATGAAGGAAATGCCCTAGGAGAGTGGGTAATGGGTATAATTAGGGTGCCAGGAAGTCAGGGTGACATCCAAGAGCAGATATTGTCAGAGCTGATACTTGAAGGTTGAAGAGATATCTACGTGGAGGAGAAGATAGTGACAGGCAGCAGACAGAACAGAGTGTTCAAAGAGAAATAAAAGGAATGAACTGGAGAACTGCAAGACAGTCAGTGTGTCTGTGGCTTACGAGATGCAGAGGAGTATGAAGGAGGTCTTGGAGGGTGAACTATGGCATCTGACTGCTCAGGTTCAAAATCCACCTCTACCACTTAATGGCTTTGTAACTTTTTTTTTTAGTGACTGTGTAACTGTGAGAAGGTTACTGACCTTCTCAGTAAATTGAAGGAGCCTGAATGTGATGATGTACCTGGAACATACAGCAAATAAATTTCCCTTATCATTCCTTGTATTCCTTTTATTCTTGATGACTAAGGTGCATTTGACCCAAGACATGCGCTTTTCAATCACCTCATATGCATACAAAAGCTGGATAGTGCAAAAAGAAGACAGAATCCCAGATGCATTTGAACTGTGGTACTGGAGAAGAACATTGAATCTACTGTGGATGCCTGAAGAAACAAATCAGTCTCAGAGGAAATACAACCGGAATCCTCCTTCGAAGTGAGGATGGCGAAAGTTCATCTTGCTAAATTTGGATATGCCATCAGGAAAGACTAATGTTTTTCCTAGAGAAGCACAGCACCTCTGGTAAGCAGAGGGTAAGGGAAAACCCTCAATGAGAAGAATCAACACATAGTTACAATGACTGACACATATCAAAGATCATGGAGATGGGATAGGGTCAGGCGACATCTCATTATGTTACACATAAGGTCACATCTCATTATGTTACACATAAGGTCATTATGAGTTGAAGTCAATTCAATGGTAACTAACAACTACCTAAAATGGTTTGAGGGAGCCTGAATGTGAGATGTATTTGAAACACTTACTATTCCTTGTATTCCTTTGTTTGATTCCTCCTTATATGTATATATGTATACATATGATAGAGACCCTATTGGCATTTAGAAAGATGGATTGTCCAATATGTTATTTCCTATCTCTGCTAAATGCTTTGCTTTCTACTGCTAAGGTCAGTTTCAATGAGAAATTGGGATGGGCACAAATTAGCTTCAATTACCAAAGAGAAACACCATTCTTTAGTTCCCTTCACCAAGGTGTTGCTTGGTGTTGGACTGTGGACGGCCAAGAAAGCCATTCACCTGTGGCCAGCTTGGCAGACTTCCCGCTGATGGAGAACTGGGACCAGTGTAGGTCTGCCTCGCTCCAGGTCTCATTGAGAGGGAAGAACCTGTAGCAGTGGCCTTTGAACTCCACCAGAACAGGGGGCAAAGGGATGCCTGGGGCAGCCGTGGGATGGCTGGAGCAGAGAGAAAACAGTCTGGGAGGGAAGCTGGCATTGCTGATCTCGTTTTGACGGCCTACTCTGTGTTCCCAAGAATGAAGTAAATCCTGTCCCGTTAGGATGAATCCAACTCTACACTTGAGGTCCACAAAATGTATGCATCCCTAAAATTTACAAAATAGTGAAAGCAATATGTGCTTATTACAAGATGTTTGGGAAATGGTAACACTGGTGTCTGTTCTCTCATTCCTCTATGTGGTGACTTTTAGAAAAATGTAGTTGTGATCATAGTGTCCTATATACACCTGTCAGCATTTTGATTTCTAATAATGAATGTCAGTATATAAGCATTTGCCCATATAATTACAGGTATACCTTGTTTTATTGTGTTGCGCAGATACTGCATTTTTTACAAACGAAGGTTTGTGGCAGCACTGCCTCAAACTAAGTCTATTGGTGTCATTTTCCAACAGCTTATGTGCACTTCATGTCCCTGTGTCACAGTTTGGTAATTCCTGTGATATTTCAGACTTTTTCATAATGCCATTGCATACTTGATAGACTACAGTATAGTGTCAACATAACTTTCACACGCACTGGGAAATCAACAAATTTGTGTGACTCACTTTATTGCAATATTTGCTCTTATCACCATAGTCTCGAACCAAGCCTGCAATATCTCTGAAATATGATTGTATACATTTTTTGCAAATATCATTCTAAATAGCTCTTGAATACCCCACTGATTGGATATACCAGAGTTTATTTAATTGTTTCCCTGCTTTTGGATAATTATATTGTTGTTTCCTTTAAAAAAAAAAACTATTTCAAATAATGCTGAGATGAACAGTTCTGTGCACAAAGCTTTTTTGGCATTTCCAATGATTTTCAGAGGAGAGATTTTAAAGGCTTTGATATAATTTGCTAAATTACCTCCTGAAAGTAATTTATATTCCCACAGTACTGTCTGAGAGCGTTCATCTCACGGTGCCCTCACTAGAGCTGAGTGTTATCACTTTAATGGAAATCTTTGCAAAATGTATAAGCAAAAAGGGGATCTGGTTTCAATTTGCAATTCTGAGCTATCTGTGGAAGGCACCCACTTTCCACATGATTATTACCAAGCAATCAGTTGCTACTGAGTCCATTCTGACTCATGGACCATGTATGTCAGAGCAGAACTGTGCTCTGTAGGGTTTTTAATGGGTGAGTTTTCAGAAGCACATTGCCAGGCTTTTTTTATGAGGCGCTTCTGGGTAGATTAGAACCTGCAAGCTTTTGGTTAGCAGTCCAGCACGTTAACTGTTTGCACTACCCAGGTACCCCTAACAGGCTACAGCTAAGACTGTTATCTTTTGCCCACTGAACTGCTGGCATTCAGGGTTTGTTTTTAATTCTGAAAAGGAACAAACAAAACCCCATATTGAAGACGATAACATTCTCCCCAGTTTCAGCTCCTCTGAAGGCCTCTCACTCAGCTCCAACTCATGGCGACCCCATGTGTTACAGAGTAGAACTGCCCCCGAGGGTTTTCTGGGTTATAATCTTTCTGGAAGCAGATCACCAGGCCTTTCTTCTGCAGAGCTGCCGGGTGATTAACAGCAAGGCAAACCGTTTGCACCACCAAGGGATTTTGGAAGTCCTCTTAGGAGAGACTATTTGAAACCACGGCTTGAGAAGGCTGACTGGGAAAGGCAGGCGTGCTGAGAACGTTTCTGGCACTAGGTTGCGTGGGTCGTCTGCCAGAACAGGCAATGGCTGGGATGAAATTTGTTAGCCTGAGTCCTATCTCAGCTCTGCTCCTTACCTGCAGGTATTGCAGGCACAGCCCTTCCCTTCAGGTTTTCAAACTAGCTGGTCTCTGGGGTCCCTTTGTCACCACCCAACCAACAAAATCTGCTGCTGTTGAGTCGATTCTAACTTGTGACAACCCCATAGGACAGAGTAGAACTGCTCTGTAAGGTTTCCAAGGCTGTAGAGCTTTACAGAGGCAGATTGCCACATCTTTCTCCCGCAGAGGAGCTGGTGGGTTGAAAACACCGACCTTCCAAATAGCAGATGAGCGCTTAAACCACTGCAACACCAGGGCTCCTGTGCCACTATCCAGTGGTGTAGTATCTTTGCTTTTCCAGGCATTATAGTGGCTGGCTGCACTCATGGAATAAATAATAAAATCACTCACTGCCATCAAGTCAAATCCGACTCATAGCGACCCCTCCTTGGGTTTCTGAGGTGGTACCACTACAGAAGTAGATTGCCCAATCTTCTTTCCGAGGAGTGGCTGGTGGATTTGAACCGCCAGCCTTCTGGTTAGCAGTCAAATGCCTTAGGCACTACACCACCAGAGCTCCTAATAATATCGTGCACAATATACACAGAATATATACAGAACTTCCGTAGTGATACCACCTCAGAAACCCAAGGAGAGGTCGCTATGAGTCGGGTCTGACTCGACTGCACATAACAACAGCAACAACAACATACACAGAACTTACGATGTGACAAGCACATACAGGAAGCCCCCCAATTTACAGCACATTCAACTTATGATGAACCGTACTTACAATTGTCCATTTTTTAATGATTTGTGTATTTTTTGTGTATATATGTATATATTAAAATATATCTGTAAGTTTATGTGTAATGTTTCCAACCCCTAAAGAATTTACAAAGATACTGGTAATACAAGGCAACAATAATGAAAACTTAAAAAAAGAAAAAGAGGTATTCAACTTAGGTCAGAATCAACGTATGATGGAGTCATCAGAACAGAGCACTGTTACAAGATAGAAGCTACCTGTATAAGGAAACAGATGCTTAGATAGGTTAAGTGACTTGCTAGTAAATGGCAGGGTGGCGATTTGAACACAAGTTTCCTGACTCCAAAGACTTTGATCTTAAAGTGTGCTTGATCATCAGGACTGAGAATAGTTAATGGTCTTTATAGCACCTACTTTATAAGGTTGCCAAGGAGCTCTGGTGGCATAGTGGTTAAAGCACTCAGCTGCTAACCCAAAGGTTAGTGATTCAAACCCCCCAGCTGCTTCACTGAAGAAAAAACAGGTCATCTGCTTCCATAAAGATTTGTACCCTTGGAAATGCTATGGGGCAGTTTTGCCCTGTCCTATATAGGAGTCAGAACTGACTTGATGGCAGTGGCTTTTTTTCATAGGGTTGTTGGGTCAATTAAATGAACAAAATAAATTAGTTGAGTGCTTGGCATATATTGATAATTCCATAATGTTGTTGTTGTTATGTGCTGTCGAGTCGGACCTGACTCATAGCGACCCCTCCTTGGGTTTCTGAGGAAGTATCACTATGGAAGTAGGATTGCCCAATCTTCCTTCCGAGGAGTGGCTGGTGGGTTTGAACCACCAGCCTTCTGGTTAGCAGTCAAGTGCCTTAGCCACTATGCTACCAGAGCTCCCAATTCCATAATAGTATGGTTATTCTGATTAGCTCGGGGTTTCATATCTGGTGTTGATGGGCTTCCAGCAACCCTGAAATTAAATGCAAAATCAAAAATGAATGTGTGAATCCTTAAATAACCAAAATAACAATAATCTATGAGTGGATGCATTGATGACAGACAAGCTGAACAGTGGTGGGAAGGCAAATGGAAATACACCCACAGATGCATAGGTTTGAAGGAGGGTATTTCCACATAAGCATTTACTTGTGCTGCAAATACATCCATGAATATAGTAGAGCATATAGGGGGCAAAGTTATGTCAACTTCTTAGCTATAACCAAATACCTTAAAGGAAATTAGTTGCTGGGCCTAGGAGCTCAGGACCAGAGTCTTGGGGGATATCAAAGTTGATTGGCATAATATAGTCCACAAAGACAGTGTTCTACATCCTGCTTTGGAGAATAGTGACTGGAGTCTTAAAAGCTTGTGAGTGGCCATGTAAGGTGCAACTACAGGTCTCTCCCTGTCCAGAGCAAAGAAGAAGGAAGAAAATCAAAGATTCATGGAAACAAATTAGTCCAAAGAACTAATGGATCACGTGAACCCCAGCCTCCAGGACCCTGTGACCAGAAGAACTAGATGATGCCAGCTACCACTGCCCCAACCACTCTGTATGGGCTCACAATAGAAGGCTGTGGATAGAGTGTGAGAAAAATGTGGAAGAAAACTCAAAATCAGAAAAAAAGACCAGGTTTAGTGATCTGATGGAGACTGGTGGAAACTCTGAGACGATGCCTTTTGTCACCCCTCAAGCCTGGAACTGAACCCACTCCTGTGCCTCAACTTTCAGCCAAACAACAGACAGGCCTATAAGGTGAACAATTACAGCAGGTAAATACACACTTCTTAGAACCAACAACCTATGAAATCAAAAGAGCAGCATCTGCCCAGGGATAACACTCAGAAGGCAGGAAGGGATAGGAATGAAAGACCAATGGAAATAGTAAATACAGGAAGGAGGGAGGAAGAGTTCTGTTGCACTGTGGGGACTGCAATCAATGTCATGAAACAATATGCATGAGTTGTTGAGTGGAAAACCAATTTCTCTGTCAACTTTCACCCAAGTCACAATAAAAAGTGGAAAAAAAAATGTGTGTGTTTGTGGGATGTGGGTGTGTCTGTGTATTTTTCTGAAGAAAGAAAGGGATGGTTGCTTTAATCCCAGCATAGCTGCTGGGAGTTTTTGCTTCAGGAACTTTTGAGTTTATGTTAATAGTGGTAGAATAATTTGGAATAGGCTAGTGAGAATGGTTGCACAGCACAGTGTAATCAGTGCATGGAACTATACAGGCAGTAGTCGTTGAATTGGCGAATGTTTTGTTGTATACACTTTGGCCAAAAAAAAAAAAAAAAAGTGGCAAACTAGAAAGAGAGAGCTGTGCTAAGTAAGCAGGTTTCAGGCCAAGCTTCCTATCACTGGTAAGAGCCGCTTGGCATTTACATTTGTTTGGAATCAGCCCTTCCTTCACTCCCAGCAGCTGCCTGCTCAGTGCTGGCTATCAGTCAATCACAGTGCATCCCAGTCTTTGAACTGGGGCCATTTGATTTAGAATTTGCTCTCCCGACCCTCTTCTATAAGGCAA